GAGAGAGAGAGAGAGACAGAGAGAGAGAGGGTGAGAGGGAGAGTCACAGAGAGAGAGAATGGGTGAGAGAACGGGCGAGGGAGAAAGTAGGGAAGAGACCAAGCGTGTGAATAAGCGCACAACTTTCCAGCAAATGTGCCACAGGTGATTTGGCTGTATCTGAACGGGGAAAAGCCCCAGATACGAAGGAGAGCTTGTGTACTAAACGAGGGAAAGAGTATGAAAGGCAACAAACTCATTGAACTAATACAGCCCCGATGACTGCGTGCTCAATTCAAAAGGGGGGTGTACAGTGCCAACGCAGCCTTCCAGATGTTCTAATTGAATGTGTTGCTCAGTGCTCATCATGACATGCTGCTACATGGTCGGGCAACAGGTTGCCACGAATCCGGACCCGAATCATCTCCGATTCATTGGAGATCGATGCACAGCTGTGGGTCATTTGACAAGGGGGACCCGCCCATACGGAACAGACCATGACTGCTACATCTGAATTTCCTCTCTAAGATGGACACGCGACGACACCGAGACCCCTGATCGAGTACAAGGTCAACATTGACCACGAGTGAGTAATCAAACTGTCGGACGTTTAGTTGCTTCCGTGAGTTCCTTCCGGGAGTTATGCATAGTGGGCATGAACTCACTCACACACACACAAACTGAGTGAGGGAAGAGAGAGGGGAAGAGAGAGAGAATTGGTATGGGAGAATGTGCGGGAAGACGCCGTCGGGAAGCTCACTTTATTTATTGGTATATTTATTTATTTATTTGAGTCTAACCTTAAGGGGAACCAAAATCATCCAAGGCGTCAGACACCTACTGTTCATTAGGAGATCAACCAGTTTTGTGCTATTGTTCTACACGGTTCATTAACGAAATAACTCTCGATTATCGCGAGGTGTATGGGCGACAATCATTATTAAACTTTCGATCTCATTGCCATTTTCTTCGTCCATTTGATATTGGAAGGAATTGGCCACTGCGAAGATATGTGTTTACATCCTAGAATCAATAAAAGCTTGATTGAGCCTTGCTTCCCTCTCCAACCTATCGGGAAAATTGAAAACGCTACCTGAGTTCGGTCTTCAAAAAGGAACGTGACAGGTAACCAAAACATAAACTGGCACCCTACTGGTCGCTGAGGACCTCGGAAGTGGGCGCAGCRAGTGACAGGCGCTGTTGCCCTTGGCTTCAGCGAACGGTAGGCGCCCCTGCCCGGGTTTCCTCCCAACAGGGGTATGACAGCGAAGCGGAAATACAGAAAAGGGGGGTGGCGGTGGCCCAAGGTCGGGCATCTGGAGCAGTGGATGAGGAGGCTGGACGAGAGGACTACGGCGGAGGGGAGACAGCCTCCCAAGCCCTAACTAAGGCCCAGAGGAAGCAGCGTACTCTCCTACTCGGGAAGGGGAAGGCTCCCCAAGCCATTGCCGCACCGCCGCCTGTCGCCGCGGCCGCGCCAGCGCTAGCGCCAACAGGGCCATCGCATATGGGGCCGCCACCAGCCTGCGGGCACTGGGTGCCTCATTGTCAGCCTGCGCCCTGGCCGAGCTGCAACCACTGTGTCTCGTGTGGAGGGGTTCAAGCCCACACAGGGCACATATGGGCCCCCCGAGCTACCCGGCGACCCAAGGCCAGCCTGTGGCCCAACCGTCGCCCTCCCAGCAAGCCTCGCAAGCTAGTGTGGCCGGGGGAGGGAGTCAAGGACAAGGCGGGCAAGGCAATGGGGGCCGGGGCGAAGGAGGCCGAGGAGGGGGTGGCTGGGGGCGAGGAGGAAATGGTGGGGGCCGTGGGGGTGGTTGGAATAATCAGGGAGGCCAGAGCCAGGGTGGCCAGGGCAGCCAGGAGGGGGGCCAAGGGTATGGGAGGCCCCGCTTCGATTGGCGGAATGCAACTTGTTGGCATTGTGGCGAGGTGGGCCACACCATACGGTTCTGCCAACAGCGGCAGGACGATAAGCTGGCAGGACTGATCTCCTCCTGTATGGACGGGGATATATACGATTGGTGGGGAAAGCACATCGATCCCAAGACCCCGGGAGGAATCAGGCAGGAAGCCCTCATGCGAGCGGCGGCAGGGCCTCGAGCAGCCCCAGCAATGTTCAGGATATGGCAAGAAAGGAAGGACCCGGGTGTAAGAGTCGAGGAGATTGTGGATGAAAATGAGGAAGTGACTCAACGGCTGAAGGGTACCACAGGTCGCGCAGACTAGGGGCCAAAGTAAGGCTACCACTAGTCAAGGGCCCAGCCTGGCACCTGGCCGGGCGCCCCCTCGAAGGGAACCTGATCGTGAACGAAGGTAAGAAGTGGTGGAGGTTCAGGAGGAAGAAGAGGAGGGTGATGACGAAGAGGATGAGAGGCTCCGCCAGGAGGAGGACCGGCGAGCTGAGCAGAGGGCCAAGAAGAGAGGAGTTCAGGGAGAGGCGGAGCCGAGCCTGCGCGATGGCGCGCCAAAAAGGAAGAAGTACGCGGTCCGGCTAGAGGAGGGCTTTGACGTGGAGCGAATGGTGGACAAGCTCCTGGAAGGTCATAACGATCTGATGAATCTGAAAGATATCTTGGCGTCAGCACCAAGGCTCCGTGGTGAGCTGAAAGGGCGGCTCTCACGAAGGTTAGTGCCCAACGTCCACCTAAGCTCGATTTTGCCCACGGAGATAGAGTGGACAGAGGCGCGTACCGGGATGGATTGGAAATGTGTGGCATGCGGGTTAGTGGATTTGAAGGTTAGGGACCAGCCGAGCATTGCAATGGTGGACACGGACGCGGAGATGAACATTATCCGGGAGCGAGATGCGTCCATGCTAGGGCTGGAGGTCGACCATTCGGACCATGGTGTGCTGCATGGCGCCAATTGTAAAGCAATTTTCTGCGGCACCGCGTCCAACGTGGTGGTGGAAATTGGAAGGGTAAGGGAACGAATGTGCTTCTTTGTCATGCCCGATGTCGACCACCCTATCCTTTTGGGGAGGTTGTTCCTCTGCCGAATGGAGACCTTGGTCTTCAATAGGCACGAGGGGATGATGATCCAGGCCCTATCTGATCCGGCCTGCGGGAAGTATGAGATATCAAGTGCCGGAACACAGGACCTGGAAGTGGGAGAAAAAGGCTCAACCTTGGCTCCTTTACCTTCAAGGAGTTTGAGTATGCGCGACGAAAACTCTGGGAGGAACAGGAGGAGCGGGCGAGGTATTGTCCCTGAGCCTTAAAGATGTGAATAAGGCAATGGAGGTGGTGGCAGCGCATGATATGGTGGACCCTGAAGCTATAAAGGCATTGAGGGAGCAGGTCCTGGAAAGCCCTCAGGTGGGAGAAGTGGAACTGATCTATCGGCTTCCAGGAAGGAAGGGGGACCCTGCGATGGCCCAGGCCCGAACGACAAATCGGCCTTTTTTAGGGGAGGGCTTAAGCAGGGCTCCCAAAGGCTGTACAAGACCATAGACAAGAAGTGTCGCCCAGTCCCCGTGCTTGTTACAGAGGATGAAGAGGCCTATTATGAGCGGGAGCGGGGACTTATCAGACGAATGCGGGAGCGTGCGCAGGCAGGACCGTGTCGAATAAATGATGGGACTGAAGAGGGGCTAATAATGGGCGAGCCAGGCTTCCTTTCGCCCCAGGAGAGGACCGTGATGGTGGGGACCATGAAGAGGAGGCATTGCGCATATGCGTTTAACGATGACAAGCGTGGGAGGTTTGACATGGATAAGATTCCAATGATACGAATCCATACCGTCCCACACGAGCCGTGGAATGTGAGGAGCGCGCTATATCCGAATCCGGATGAGAAGAAGAAGGTGGTGGACTATCTGGACAGGAAAATGCGAACGTACGTGGCAGACTACTCCAGTGGACCGTATGCCTCCCCTTGGTTTTGCTTCATCAAGCCCAACAGGACGCTACGGTGGGTGCAGGACCTGCAGCGTTTGAATGCGGTGACGGTGCGGGACGCGGGAGGATTGCCAAACACGGACGCCCTGTCAGATTCATGCGCAGGAAGGCCTATAATTTCACTGATGGACCTTTATTCCGGGTATGACCAATGTCCTGTATACCCGCCGAACAGACCGGTGATGGCGATGCATACGCTGAGGGGGCTGATCCACATGAATGTGGCCCCTCAGGGGTGGACTAATGCGGTGGCGATGGTGCAAAGGCACATGATAAGGGTCATGCAGACGATTAGTCCACATATTACCCAACCCTACATTGACGATCTGGCGGTCAAGGGTCCAAAGGAGAGGGAGGAAGACGAGGTGATGCCAGGAGTAAGACGGTTCATTTGGAAGCACATCCAGGATATCGATAAGGTTCTGGGCCTGCTGGAAGCGCACAACCTGACGGCGAGCGGCCCCGAGTCGAAGCATTGTATGAGGGAGGCCACGATTCTGGGCTTCGTCTGTAATGAGAAGGGGCGGAGGCCAGATGTGAAGAAGACGGACAAGATCCTAGAGTGGCCAGTGCCCTTTCAGTCTATAACGGACGTGAGGAGCTTCCTTGGGACGTGTGGTTTTTGGAGGAGTTTCGTGAACGACTTCACCACCAAGACGGAGCATTTGAGGAAGCTGGTGCGTCAGGATCAGGAGTGGGTCTGGGGCGAGGACCAGGAGAAGGCTGTGGAAAGGATGAAGGGAGAGTTCAAGGAAGGAGGCTTGGTGCTAGGAGCGCCAAATTATGAGGCCGCGGAGGAAAGGTCATTCGTTGTTGAGACGGACGCTGGGCCAATTGCCTTAGGAGGGATCCTGATTCAGGCAGACGCGGACGGGAAGGAGAGGCCGTTAAGGTTTGAAAGTCGTACCCTCAATACGACTGAGAGAAACTACTCTCAGTTTAAAAAGGAGACGCTGGCGGTACTCCATTGCCTGAGGACCTTCCGGAATTATATCTTTGGCAGGAGGCTCATTTTGAGGGTGGACCCTACTGCGCTTGCGTGTTCCCTGAAAAGTTATACTCCATCTGACCCAACCATCGCGAGGTGGTTGACCTACATTTGGATGTTTAACTTTGAGCTGGAGAGGATTCCAGGGGACAAGAACAGGGCAGATGGGCTGAACCGTATCAACTGGAACGGGGCGAATCAGGAGTCAATCGAGGATACCCCACCAGTCGACGGGTTCTTGGACCAGGAGGAGGATGTCCGCCTCCACATAAATGAATGGTCGTTGAGGGTGCCTAGTTGTGTTATGCATCCCATATGGCTAGCACCAAGAGGGTACGAGCGAAAGGAGGAGTTGGTCCTCAAGCCCTTCCAGGAAGAAGATCCGTGGGGGAGTAGGGATGTTGGCTGGATGATGAAGTTGGCATTGGCGGGGTACACACAGTCTGGCAGCAAAAATGAGAACAATAGAGGAGGGCCCAACCCAGGTAGAGGAGCATGAGTATTTAATGGGAGGGGTGTATTTGCTCACTAACACGCTCCTGCAGGGGAACTTTAACCAAAGGGACTCATTTGGTTCTGAGGAGAGTGAACTTCTTGTTCCTGAGAGCCAGGACGATGAGTTTGAAGCGGGAGAGATCAGGGAGGCATTGCGCGCAGAGGAGTATGACGGGATCTATCGGGAGTTGGGGTTACCCCTGTCGTCCGAGATAAGGGATAGAGACGCAAGTGCCAAAGCCCAGAAGATGAGGCATCTCTAAGTAGTAAGAGAGGGCCATCTGTTTATAAAGCGGCAGGTCGGAAACCCCAAGAGGATCGTATGTGGGAGGAACCGAGAGATCGATGTCATAGCAGCCCTACAAGATGGTATAGCAGGGGGGCACAAAGGGGTTAGTGCCACGTGCGCAAAGATAAGCGAGTTATACCATTGGGATGGAATGCTGGCTATGGTCATCAAGTACTGCCAGTCCTGTGTACCTTGCCAGCAGAGGTCAGCGCAAAGGCCTGGGGAGCCTCTGCACCCCAGGTTGGAGAGGGAAGTGGGTGCGGTCGTGCACCTGGACTTGCTGTTTATGCCACTCGGGGAGGATGGAAGTAACTATAACTTCGACATACGACGGCCGGGCTATTCGTACAAAAACTGACCCAGTTTTTGCAAGATGCATCGAAGAATACTACCTACACTATTTGTTTGTCAGAGAGTTTGTGATGGACCGGGGGTCGAAGTTCACCTGTAACGAGGTGCGGACCTTACTTGCGGGGTATGGCGTGGTGGCAAATTATACTACTGTCGGGCACCCCCAGGCGAACTCACCTATGGAAAGAGGGCATAGTACCATCACAAATCTTCTGGCCAAATGGACTGAGGGGAGGCCTAACCAGTGGCCAAATGGACTGAGGGGAGGCCTAACCAGTGGCCAAAGTTCCTGAGAGCAGTTTTCTTCGTGGAAAATGTTACAGTGAAAAGGACTACCAAGTATGCGCCAGCCACACTATGGTACGGAAGGCATGCCACCTTTCCCATAGAAAGTTTCATGAAGACGTGGAGGCGCCAGGACCTGGAAGTGAACCTGTCTTTTGAAGAACTGCTCGATATACGGGCGCGGCAGGTGGGATTTATTGAGGAAAGGTTGCGAGAGGCCGCTGGTTAGGTAGAGAGAAGCCGCATGGAAGACAAGATGAGATGGGACTAGATGGCCCAGGTAAGAAAGGATCCGCTAAAGGTTGGAGATGCTGTACTGCTGTATGACTCCTCGCTGGAAAAACAATGGTCTAGGAAGCTCGACAAACGATGGTTGGGACCCTATAGGATCGYGCGGTGTGGCGAGTTTGGGGCCTACCAAATTGAAGAGCTGGATGGGGCGGGGTGGCAAGACTGGGTATTAGGGACAAGGCTGAAGAAGTTCGTGGCCAGGGAAWAGGTAAGGGACCATGARACCTCRTTAGGAATAGAGTCTTGCCCAGGCATTACCCATGTCAGGTGATTAGATAGATGGGTGATTGGGGTGGATGGGTGTGGAGTGTATGTGGGATTTCCCTAAGCCAATAGGCTCAGTTGCTGACCCTGTTGTGTGCCTGTTTGCTGTCTCTCGCCTGTTGTGCAGGTCTGACTTTTCGAAGGCAGTCATGCAGAGGGGCGGGAGGGACACACGGCCACGGCAGGGGTCCCAGAGGGCAGCAGGAAGGGGCGAGCAGCATGAGCCGCCCAGGAGGGAGCCTACGCCAGAGTTCGACGACGATAACATTGAGCTCTTCCTGGACGTGTATCGGGATCATGCGGCACAGAGAGGGTGGTCAGTGGCGGAGAGGATTCACCACTTGAGGGGTATAGGGAGGTTTGAGAAGCCTGTTGCTTAGATATGTGAGGAGGACCTGACTTGGGCAGATGTGGAGGCCGGGATGCCGAGGTTGAGAGCTTCCCCTAGAGGACGTAATGGCATGCCCATTCGATTAGGGGAGGAGAACGCAGAGGAATTTATTCCCTCATACGAGCATTATATGTTGAGCCAGGGGATTGCGCGGGAGGAGTGGGCACATACCCTACTTATCCGGACAAGGGGGGCAGAGAGGCCGGTGGCCAAACAGATCCGGGAGAGAGCTCGAGATTGGGAGGACTGCCAGGCCTAGCTCAGGAGGGCGTTCGAACGGCCAAAGCGCGAGAGGCCCGAGCCTAGGGTCGAGAGGCGGAGGCGAAGCAAGAGGCCAAGGGAACCAGCACCGAGGGAGGTGGGGACGGCTAGAGAGAGGAGGAGGGCCCCAACACAGCGGGCGCATGAGCCCGCCGGGCTCGCACCGGAAGAGGAGTTGTTCCCTGCTTGTGGTCTCCGGGCAGTTGAGTTTCGACGGATCACGAGCGAGGAGCTGAGGCCATCTTCACCGTCGCCATCAGGGCTGGAGCTGGACGTACCAGGGGAGACGCCATTCCGGAGCTTAGCGACTCACCTTGATGTATCTCGATGGGAAGCCTCACGGTTGGGAGAGGGCTCAGCTGAGCCAGTGCGCTATGTACCGTTAGAAGAGCCTCTTGACCTCGAGACGGAGCAAACACGCGAGACCAAGAGGGGGCCGCAAGGCCCTGGGATGGCAGTCAAGCAGCCAGGTCCGGTACGGCCTCTGGATGAGGAGGTGATCACGGTCGGAGACGATACCCCTCCATGCTCCCCAGCTCCAGAGCAAGCACAACATTCATGGCCAAAGGGGATTCCTGAGCCAGGCAGTGAGGAAATTTCGGAGTTTCCCCCAGAGACCACTGCGGTGCCTGAGTAGGAGGCAGAGATGGAGAAGCAGGGGGCTGGTGAGGGAGCGAGGATGGAGGCGATTCACGATTCACCCTCAGTAATGCCCGCGACCGAGCGCCCAGCTATCGAGGAGCCTGTACTGGAGGGGCTACCGCCGGCATTGCCGAGTACGAGCGAGAGGATGGGTGCCGAGGCGTCGACTCCGGAAGGCCAGGGGCCGCAAGGGAGAGGAACCTCAAGAGAAACCAGCGAGGAGAAGTCCGCCAGTGTGCGAGTCCGTCTGGATGAGATACACGCGAGGCAGACTGAGATGGAGGCGGTAGGGATAGAGCCGACGCCGCCGGTCGATCCCAAAACGAGCTAGCAGTGGATCGACGAGTTGTGGGCAAAGTACGAGAGCCAGAGGGACGCGGCCCGCCAGAGATCACGAGAGACGGGGCAGGCGGACGTGGGGGTGGGTGAGCTGAGGGAGATGGGGGACTTGGGGTTCTCTGCGACTAGGATGGCGATTGAGCGTGTGGACAAGAAGATATGCGAGACGGCAGTTACATCCTTTCAGTGGTATAGTTTACTCAGTCGTGAGCTCAGGGTCAGAGAGTTGGAGGTGGAGCACCTGACTACTCAGCTTGCCGAGGAGAGGGCGAGGAACCAGGCCCGAGAGATTGAGTGGGAGAGGAGATTTAGGGAAATGGCAGCCATTGTGGACAGGCTCTCGGCAGCCTGGGAGGCTAGCCAGACGGGACGAGTCGGTGCCGATGGCCAGGACCGAGGGATGCGGGCTTCGCCAAGCCAGGAAGCAGCGGTGGGGGCCCCTCGGCAGGCTGGGCCAATTGGGGAGGTGCCTCTGGATACGACCGAAGAAGAGGGTGGCGCCCAGGAGTCACTTATGGCAATATCCACGGAGAGAAGAGGCTCACGTTTGCATGAGCTGGCAGCAGCCATGGGGATAGGTACACCGCAGGAGAGGCCTCAGAGGCTTGATACCCTAGGCTACACCCTAGGGCTGGGAGAGTTGAGGGCGGAGTTGGGCTCGTGGGCCTTAGAGACGGACTCAGGCGGCAGCAGCAACAAGACGTCGTGAGTGAGCCGGCCGCCGTGGCGGGCTTACAGCCGTCAGGATCATGTGGGGATGTGGAGGCGACGGAGAGGCCTCACGAGGAGAGACCCCGAGAGTTGGGCAYGCCAGGCCACGAGTCAGTGAGCACTTCCGTGCGAGGGGGTAAGGACGCTGAGGCTATGGAGTCTGATCCTCGGGGCCATATGGGGGTACCATTATGCCACGAGGTGACCACCGAGACCATCGGGACGCCGTCAGCATCGAGCTCCCGGGGGAGAAAGAAGAAGACTGCCAGGNCCAGGGGACAAGAACAGGGCAGATGGGCTGAACCGTATCAACTGGAACGGGGCGAATCAGGAGTCAATCGAGGATACCCCACCAGTCGACGGGTTTTTGGACCAGGAGGAGGATGTCCGCCTCCACATAAATGAATGGTCGTTGGGGATGCCTAGTTGTGTTACGCATCCCATATGGCTAGCACCAAGAGGGTACGAGCGAAAGGAGGAGTTGGTCCTCAAGCCCTTCCAGGAAGAAGATTCGTGGGGGAGTAGGGATGTTGGCTGGATGATGAAGTTGGCATTGGCGGGTACACACAGTCTGGCAGCAAAAGTGAGGACAATAGAGGAGGGCCCAACCCAGGTAGAGGAGCATGAGTATTTAATGAGAAGGGTGTATTTGCTCACTAACACGCTCCTGCAGGGGAACTTTAACCAAAGGGACTCATTTGGTCCTAAGGAGAGTGAACTTCTTGTTCCTGAAAGCCAGGACGATGAGTTCGAAGCGAGAGAGATCAGGGAGGCATTCCGCGCAGAGGAGTATGACGGGATCTATCCAGAGTTGGGGTTACTCCTGTCGTGCGAGATAAGGGATAGAGACGCAAGTGCCAAAGCCATGAAGATGAGGCATCTCTAAGTAGTAAGAGATGGCCATCTGTTTGTAAAGCGGCAGGTCGGAAACCCCAAGAGGATCGTATGTGGGAGGAACCGATAGATCGATGTCATAGCAACCCTACAAGATGGTATAGCAGGGGGGCACAAAGGGGTTAGTGTCACGTGCGCAAAGATAAGCGAGTTATACCATTGGGATGGAATGCTGGCTATGGTCATTAAGTACTGCCAGTCCTGTGTACCTTGCCAGCAGAGGTTCAGCGCAAAGGCCTAGGGAGCCTCTGCACCCCTGGTTGGAAAGGGAAGTGGGTGCGGTCGTGCACCTGGACTTGTTGTTTATGCCACTCGGGGAGGATGGAAGTAACTATATCTTCGACACACGGGACAACCTTACCAAGTTCGTGGACGGTTGGGCTATTCGTACAAAAACTGACCCAGTTTTGGCAAGATGCATCGAAGAATACTACCTACACTATCCGTTTGTCAGAGAGTTTGTGATGGACTGGGGGTCGGAGTTCACCTGTAACGAGGTGCGGACCTTACTTGCGGGGTATGGCGTGGTGGCAAATTATACTACTGTCGCGCACCCCCAAGCGAACGCACCTGTGGAAAGAGGGCATAGTACCATCACGAATCTTCTGGCCAAATGGACTCAGGGGAGGCCTAACTAGTGACCGAAGTTCCTAAGAGCAGTTTTCTTCGTGGAAAATGTAACAGTGAAAAGGACTACCAAGTATGCGCCAGCCACGCTATGGTACGGAAGGCATGCCACCTTTCCCATAAAAAGTTTCATGAAGACGTGGAGGCGCCAGGACCTGGAAGTGAACCTGTCTTTTGAAGAACTGCTCGATATACGGGCATGGCTGGTGGGAGCTGTTGAGGAAAGGTTGCAAGAGGTCGCTGGTCAGGTAGAGAGAAGCCGCATGGAATACAAGATGAGATGGGACTAGATGGCCCGGGTAAGAAAGGATCCGCTAAAGGTTGGAGATGCAGTACTGCTGTATGACTCCTCGCTGGAAAAACAATGGTCTACGATGGTTGGGACCCTATAGGATCGTGCGGTGTGGCGAGTTTGGGGCCTACCAAATTGAAGAGCTGGATGGGGCGGGGTGGCAAGACTGGGTAT